GAATTTTCGCGTAGCTCGGTATCTGTTGCAATGCATCTGCAAAAGGAATGTTAATATGCAGTTTTTTAAATACATCAAGAAATTTAATGAACTGCTTATCCTGTTTTTCTTTTATGAGCCGCTAAGGAAAAGGCACGGGTGGAGTGTGATGTGCCAATTCTGGTGGTATCTCGGGAAATGAAAATTTCTCTTTCCTTCTCTTTTGCCTATCTTCCCGTTTCTGCTCATCCTCCCTAGGGCTAGGTGGTTTCTCTTCAGCAATGATTTCTTCATCAACTTCCTCATCAGATTCTTCATTTTTCCTTGATGGGGTTTTCTCTTTCCTTGATTGTTCCACCTCTTCCAAGACTGTACCACTTCTCAAGGTTATTGCGTTCACTTGCTCTCGTGGGTTAGTCACTGTGTTGCTCGGCAAAGACCCCTATGGTCTCTCATTTAGATTTTCAACTAACTGCCCCATCTGTACCTCCAAGTTCCGAATGGATGCCCCTTGATTTCTGATATTAGTTCTCATCTCATTCATAAAACTTGTGGTCTCTTGCATGAACTTCCTAAACATGTCCTCCAATTTTGTCGCTCTTGGGTCTCCTTGTTGGTTGTTCACCCCTGTTTGGTTATTTGGCAATGCCCTTTGATTCCATTGATTGTTTTGCTGATTCTGTTGGTTTTGATTGCCCCAAGACAGGTTTGGGTGATTCCTCCAACCAGGATTATATGTGTTGGAGTACGAATTGTTCGGTTGCCTTTGATTTCCAGCCAAGTAGTTAACCTGCTCTTATGATGACGATGCTGAGGCAAACGTGTTCCCTACTTGACATTCACTGCTCACGTGATTACCTGCACAAAAATCATAAGTTAGTTGAGGAGCTTGAATGGAATTTACCTGCATACTTCCCAACTGTTTTTTAAGTGCTGTCAGTTGGGCTGAAATGGCTGTATATGCATCAACTTCATGAAGACCCATAGATTTCTTCGGTTGCACCCTCTCATTAGGTCTTTGATAATTGTTGCTTGCCAGAACCTCAAGCAACTCGTGAGCTTCTTCCTGAGTCTTATTCTATAATGCTCCTCCCGAGGCTGCATCCACCATAGTTTGCACATTCACCGTTAATCCATTATAAAATGTTTGGAATTGCATCCAAACTGGCAACCCATGATGTGGACACCTTCTCAGTAATTCTTTGTATCTCTCCCAAGCCTCATACAATGATTATGACTCTTCTTTAATGAATGACGTGATGTCATTTCTCAACTTTGTCGACTTTGCTGGAGGAAAGAATTTGGTCAGGAACTTCTGTGCTAAATCATTCCATGTGGTGATTGTTCATGTTGGTAGTGCCAGTAACCATCCCTTAGCTTTATCCTTCAATGAAAATGGGAATAGTCTCAATCTGATTGCATCATCTGACACTCCGTTTGACTTGAAAGTATCACAAATCTCTAAAAAATTTGCAATGTGTAGATTTGGATCTTCCTTCAAATCACCCCTGAACTGAACTGACTGCTAGATCATCTAGATGATTGTCGGCTTTATCTTGAAGTTATTGGCTTGTACCGTTGGTCTAGTAATACTCGACCCACTGCCTTCAACTGTGGGAACTGAGAATTTCCTTAGTGTTCTATTCTCTGCCATCTCTATAACTATTACTTCTGGTTCAACTGTAGCTTCTCCTTCTCTTCTTTCTCTGTTCAGTCTTCGAGTGGTTCTTTCAATCTCAGGATCAACAGGAATCACTAGCTGACGTCTTGCTCTTCGCATAAACTACACAGAAAAATAACGAAAATCAAACAAAAAACAATTAAGTAAAAATAACACTCCAATCTAGCTAACACAAGAAAATTTTAATGTTAACACAAAACTCAATCCCCGGCAACAGCACCAAAAACTTGATGCGTTGTAATTACAACATGCAATGTGTAGCAAGTGCACTAGTCGCACAAGTAATAAAGTGATGAGTGAGTATCGTTCCCACGAGGATTGGTTGCTAAGCACTAAGTTTTCTACTGTTTTCAAGTTGAAGCAATCGAGTTGTTTGGATTAAAGGGAGAAAATTAAACTTAAAACTAAAACAAAATTTCTAAATATTCAAAACTAAATTATGAAAGCAAGATTAAAAACAAGGTAATATCAGTTTAAACCAACGGGTAGGGTTTTGATTTCATTCGGACTCTATTGATTAAAACTACAGATTATGCTATTTCCATATTCACATGCATTGATTGTAAATCGAATTCTCTAAATTGTAAACATACCTTCTCATGCTATGTTTTCCTACTTTTCCCTATTAAACTTCCGCACCCAACAAATTGAAGATTAATAGTTCTATTCTCATTAAGCACCTAGAATCCTAGATTGATTTCATTGATTCTTAAATCTATCTCTAGCATTTAATACTACAATGGTGATTACCCAAGAAGCTTAACATGAATTATTTCTCAATCTCATCATGTTCATCACTTAATAACATTAAAAACAGAATAAACCCACAACCATTGCAATAGCATATGAAAATAATAAAAATTAATTGCTTAATCCATGAGAATCCGAACTACATCAAAACCCTAACCTAAAATGGGTTAGTTCACAGCTAAATCTATACAATAAGCAAGAAAAACAATAAACCCAAAGTTCAACATAATAAAAATGAGAGAAAATACAAGAAATCTCCCGTAATTGAAGAATCCACTGGACTTAATCCCAAATCTTCTCACTTTTAACACAAATTCGTCAAAAATCAAACTAAGAAGATGAAAAAGTTGTTCTAGACTAAGGAAAACGCCTTCCCTCTCAAAATGGTAAAGTTTCCCTTTTATACCTCACCCAAAAACCTAAAACTTTGCCTAAAATTGAAACTGTGCGTTTTAAAGAAATTGAAAACTGAAGACTTCGTCGCGGCGAAGAAGAAATCTCGCCGCGGCGACGAAGTGAACCGGATTCTTGTGCGTGACTCATTTCGCCGTAGCGAAGAACAAACTTCGCCGCGGCGAACCTCCATGAAGAATTTTGAAATTACATAATTACCCTCCACTTGCTTCTTTGCTTGAATCTTCGATTTTCAATGCTCTCCCATGGTAACAAGCTTCATAGTGCTTCACTCTACTTTAGAACTCTCCCAAATTCTGAGATCCGTTTACTTCTGAGTCTAGAAACTCCAATTCGCTCATTATTTGCTCAAAATGTCCATTTTAGCCTGAAGCACAAAATGTAAAGAAATAAGTAGCAGTTCAGGCATAGATGAACTAAAAAGTATCTGAAATCCAGCCTAAAAGCCTAATAAAAACAGTATAATTCTCGGATTATCAGTGGCACAGCGGCATGACAAGGCCTTATGTTTGTGGAAAAATTCTGCGCCGCAGCATGGATCGTGAGAAAAATAAAATCCTTATTTTTTTTAACTCCGACTTGAACTTGGACTCTTCCAAAAACACCCTTAGCAAAGGAAAAGTATAAATAGGATTTTGTAATTTAGTTTAGGGTTGGCTGGGGGTCTAAAGGAGAGTTATTTTCTTAGCAAAAAGAGAGGAGATTTTTCCTAGGATTTTGAAGATCATTCATGCTTTTGGAGAATTTTAGGTTTCCTCTTTCAATGTCAATGTGTAACTAAACTCTTCTCTAGGGATCTAATGTAGCCTAATTTGATGGCTCTATGTGTAATCATATATTTATTGTTATTAATTCAATGAAACTCTAGATTCATTCATGTATTCATTACTCCTTTAATTTTCATTATTGTGTGACGACACTTAGTGCAAATTATTAGGTTGTATGTGTGAAGATTATTGAATGAATGATTAATATTCTATGCATACGCCCTGATAGAGTATTAGTAGGTTCATGATTTCTTGGGTAATTAGTGTTTGTGCACGTGCCATGACAAATACTCCTTTGTTCAGGATTTCAAGTACTCTACGTTTAATGGGTTTTTAATTCATAGGCTAGACTATAAGCCCTAACTAGTCTTATGTTAAAAGTATTCGGTTAATCCCCAAAGCCTTATGGTAATACCTTGATTTGGTGAGTGCGAACCCTAGAAAGTGAATTGATAAATAATAGATATTTGGTTGACATAGAGCAGGATAATTATGGTGAAATTGGAACCCTAGGTTCTGGTCGATTGGATTTAAGATAACTTTATTGTCGTTTAATTTTAGTTTAATTAGTTGTTGCTTTTGAAGTGATTCCCCTTGAATTGCGATTATCAATTATAGTTATTAGTTTAAATTGAAGCTTCGTTATAAGGATTAGTAAATTGCTTACAAATCTCTGTGGGATCGACCCTTGCTTTTGCACACTATACTGCGATAGCGATTTATGCACTTGCGAGGAATTAGAATTTGTTCATCAAGTTTTTGGCGCCGTTGCCGGGGATTTGTTTTAAGTTATTTAGTTTTCTTGATAACCATGCTTTAATTATTGTTATTTAATTTAATTTGTATTATTTTTATTTGGGTTATTTTTTTTTTCCTTTTGTTTTTGTTTTCGTTGGTGTGTTTGTATTTGAATGCAAGGTCGTCGATAACTAGATAAAGAATTATTACCTTACGTGGATAGAGTCAATTTGATTGGTTGAAAGAGGAAGGAACTATAATTTCCTAAAAATTCATCAGATTCAAGTTCAGAACTAGAGATAATGGCTGAATTACCTCGTCTTATGAAGGAGTATGCACGCCCTACCATAGGAACGTCGCCATCTTGCATAGTGCTGAATGAGGCAGTAAGGAATTACGAACTCAAGAACATTCACTTTCAGCTATTACCGTCATTCCATGGCATAGCCATAGAGGATCCACTTACCTTTATTCATAATTTTTATTCTACTGTTCAAGATTTTCCTTTGCAGAGTTTAACAGAGGACCAACTGCGGATGCATTGCTTTCCTTACACATTGAAGGATGCAGTAAAGAGATGGTTCATGACTTTGACCCCAGCTTCACTTACAACGTGGGATGCAGCTTATAATAGATTCATAGGTAAATTCTACTCTCATGCTAAGACTGTCGAACTGCGAGGTAAGATTGCCACCTTTACTTAGATAGAAGGTGAGCCATTCCATGAGGCTTGGGAGTGTTTTAAATTATTGATGGTTCAATGTCCACATCATAGATATCCTTTAAAATTGCTTAACCAATTTTTCTATGATGGACTAACACAGGCTTGCCAAGCCATAGTTGATAATGCTACAGGTGGTGCCATGGGAGAGAAGATTGCACAAGAGACATACGAGCTATATGAGATGCTTGAAGTAAACTCACAGCAAAAAAGTGTTAGAGGAAGATCCAAAGGAATTTATGAAGTGAACAATAACTCTGAGCTGACAATGTAGGTTTCAGAGCTAACTAAACAAATGAAGACTATGTGCAATATGTTGATGGGACAAGGGCAAAGTAACTCTTCAAAGGTATGTGCTATTTGTGGTTATAGTGGGCAAACTGACATTTGTCCTTCTAGTGAGAATTTTCCAGAGTATGTGGAGCAAGCAAGTGCGATGAATTCCTACAACCAAAGGCCTAACAACCCATTCTCCAATACTTATAATCCAGGTTGGAGGAATCATCCTAACTTCTCTTGGAGTAATAACCAACAACAGCTAGCTCTCACAATCAACAAAAGGAAATCGTCATTAGAGGAGACATTGAACAACTTTATTCAAGTCTCTCAGAAGAACAACCAGAATTTTAAGCAGAGATTTCAGCAGCAAGAGGCATCCATAAGGAAGTTGGAAGTCCAAATAGGGCAAATAGTAGAAGCGATTCAAGGACATGTTTTTGGGAAATTACTAAGCCAATCTGAGCAAGCAAATGTAATCACAATACTACGAAGTGGAAAGGTAATTAATAAAGATATTTATTCTGAGACTAATGAGAGCTTAATTGATCATATAGGAGAAGATAAAGCTAAGGAGAAGCAATCAAGTGAATCCGAGAAGAATTTGGCACAGTAGGCTGAGCTTGAATGGCTTAAGGGAGAAATGATGACCTTTAGGGTCAAGGAAATGGAGTTCCTTGACAAGCTCAATGTGACCGAGGCTGCTCGAGCAAAGGCCGAAGCTAAGGCAGTGGAAGCCGAGAAGAATTTGGCACAACAGCGAGGTACCAATAACAAGTTGAATTCTGAGCTTTCCTCGGCTCAAAAGGCTACCTCGGATTGGGAGGCCAAATCTAAACAATCCTTGCTCGACTTTGTCCAGGAGGTGGAAGGTCGACGGAAGGCTGAAGTTGAGACCAGACAACTCATACTTCAAATTGAGGAGCTAAACGAGGCCATCACTACTCGGGCTTGGCAAACATTGGTCTTCCTTATACAGAAGCTATGGGACGCCCACCCTTCGATCGACTTCTATTTCCTTCCACGAGCTTATTAGAAGGAAGTTGAAAGGATGAAGGTTGAAGCCCAAGGAATGGCCTACGTGTACTTGGATGACTCTGAGGACAATGGTGAGGTCCAAGAAGAAGTTGAGGAAGGCGAAGAGGGGATTGGGCTCAAGCTGGAAGTCGAAGATCCAACTCCCCTGACCACACTTCCCCCGAGCGAGGCTCTCAACCTTAGAGCAACTATTGCCGTCCCTCCCACTGAAGAATCGTCTCTTCCCGTCGGTGACGAGTTCCTTGGACCTGTCGAGGATGATCTCCCTGCTCCCCCAGTTGCATGAAATGTCATCATTTTTTTTTTCCTTTTTTTTTTTCTTTTTTTTTTTTTTACAATGTCATAGAATTCTATCAATGAAAAGAAAATTTTTCAACATGTCCTCATTGAGCAAAGATTATTATATTTCTACAGAGTTATTTCATTTATCCTAGTTAGACTTGTAATAGAAGATCCGAATTCGCTCTAAGTTATGCGTAGCTCGCCTCTTGAAGAGCTTTTTCGGATGTGTGCAAGGAAATCTTTTGCGATAAGCAACTCCGATTCCAGATCAGTTGTTCGTTTCAAGTTTTGGTCGCTGGCTTAAGGCTGATTTCTTCGACATGTTTTTTCTCGAATTTTTTCAAGTTTAACTTCGTCGATTTAGGATGTTTCATCCTTAAAGAGTTGGATTTTCACATGACTTTTTTAGATAAGCTGTCTTTTTTAGACTCTTGACTCCAAGTTTTCTTTTTGGAATACTATCAAGTAGGTCACGATCTTTGAAGTGATGAATAAATGCTAAACAAACCAAGAACATTAACAAACAAAAATCATGAATAATACCTCTTTTATTGATCAAACGCTTTGGCCGTGAGTGACAACCTTACAACGAATGAAAAGATAAACATAAGTGGAACCCGAGCTGTTTATTGGTAATACCTTAGCAAATGCTCGACGTTCCAGGCTCGCAGTATTGCTTCGCCATTGAGGCGTTCTGATGCATTGTAACTACAACATGCAATGATAGCAAGTGCACTAGTCGCACAAAGTAATAAAGTGATGAGTGAGTATCATTCCCACGAGGATTGGTTGTTAAGCACTAAATTTCCTATTAGTTTTCAAGTTGGAGAAACCAAATATTGTTTGGATTTATGGGAGAATATAAGACTAAACTGAAAGCAAAAATTACTAAATGCAAAAACAACTAAATTATGAAAGCGAGGTTTAACACAAGTGTAATATCAATTAAAACAAACAGTTAGGGTTTGACTTCATTCGGACTCTATAGATTAATTATGTGGATTATGCTACTCTCACATTCACATGCACGGATTGTAAACCGAATTCCCTAAGTTGTAAACATACATTCTCAGGCTATGAATTCCTACTTTTCCCTATTAATCTTCCGTACCCAACAATTTGAAGATTAACAAATCCAAGTTCATTAAGCTAATGGAATCCTAGATTGGTTTCATTGTCTCTCAAATCTATCTCTAACATTCAAAATAACAGTGGTGATTATCCAAGAAGCTCAACATGACTCATTTCTCAATCTCATCATGTTCAATAAGTAAAATCAATAAAATTCGGAATAATCACACAATCTATGCAATAGAATATAAAAGCAACAATAATCAATTGATTAATCTATAAAAATCCGAATTACATCAAACCCTAACCCAAAATGGGTTAGTTCATGACTAGATTAACATAAACAGCAAGAAAAACAATAAACCCAGAAATTAACATATTGAAATATAGAGAAAAGAGAAGAGATCTCCCCTAGTTGAAGATTCCACAAGATTCAAGCTCAAATCTTCTCCCAAATGTAAAAGCTATTCAAAACTCAATGAAAACCAGACGAACCTAAACGACCCCCTCTCAAAATGGCAAGGTTTTTCTTATATACCTTGCCTAAAAGACCTAAAAAATAAAACTGTGCGTTTTGGAGGAAACAAAAATTTGCAGACTTCGCCGCGGCGATGAACTAAAGCTAAACTTGTTCTTAGCTTCTTTCGCCGCGGCGAAGAATAACCTTCGCTGTGACGAACCTTCCTGGAAAATTCTTAAATTACAGAATTGCCCTCTGCTTGCTTTCTCCTTGAATCTTCGATGCTTTCTCATGAAAACAAGCTTCATAGTGCTTCACTCTGCTTTGGAACTTTTCCCAATTCTGAGATATGCTTACTTCTAAGTACAGAAACTCCAATTCTCTCATTATTTGCTAAAAATGCATGTTTAGACCTGAAACATAAAATATATAGAATTAAGTAGCAATTCAAGCATAAACAAGCTAAGAAGTATCTAAAATCTGACCAAAAAGCCTAAATAAAATAGTATAATTCTCGGATTATCACGTTCTAAGTGAAAAGATCCTGGTGCGAGCTTTTTTGAGATCCTAAAAGGACCTTCCCATTTGGGTCCAAGTGCCCCCAAGTTCGAGTTTTGAGTACCTTGGATGACTTTTTTGAGAACCAGGTTGCCTACTTCAAAGTCTCTATTTTTGACTTTGGTGTTGAAATATCGTTTGACTTGCTACTAATATGAGGCGAGCCTTAATTGAGACTTGGCCTGGTGCTCTTCAATTAGATCTAGCCTCAGGCAGAAAAGGTCTTCATTTACTTCCTCGTTGAAGACTTTCCTTCAGAACGAACTGATTCCCACCTCAACTGGGGCCATTGCTTCACATCCGTATGATAAAGAGAACGGGGTTTCACCTGTCCAACTCCTGACTGTTGTTCTATAAGACCACAAGGCTTCAGACAATTCTTCGACCCATCTTCCCTTTAAGGCGTCGAGCTTCTTTTTAATATTGTGTTTGATGACTTTGTTTACGGCCTCCACTTGACTGTTGGCTTGAGACTGGTAAACAGCAACGAAGCTCTTCTTAACGCCGAGTTGTTCATAGAAAGATCTGAAGTCTTCACTATCGAACTGTTTCCCATTGTCGGTTATGATAGTGTGAGAGATTCCAAACTGACAAATAATGTTTTTGTAGACGAAGTCTTTCAACTTGTTCAACGTGACGATAACCAAGGGCTCGATCAGCTTCTGCCTACTTGGTAAAGTAGTCAACAGTGACCACCGCAAACTTGACGCCTCCCTTTCCTTGAGGCAAATGGCTAATCAGGTTAATGCCCCAAATCGCGAATGGCTAGAGGCTTGTTAAAGTAGTCAATTCTTGAGGTGGAGCTTCCGGAATATCTGCAAACCTCTGGCACCTATCACATCTGCGCACATAGTCTGCCGCATCATCGAAAACTGTTGGCCAATAATACCCCTGGCGAAGTACTTTGTAGGCTAGAGATCTGCCTCCTACATGATTTTTACAAATTCCCTCATGGATCTCTCTTAGAACATAATTCGCGTCTTTATGGTTGATACATCGTAGCAGCAGAGCAGTACATTGAATCCACATTTGTATAATTTATCATAGATGAGTGTGTACCAAGCTGCCTTTGTATGAAGTGTCCTAGCTTAAATTCTCTCATCTGGTAGTATACCACCCTTAGGTAGGCAATGATTACGTCCATCCAACTGTATCTCCGCCTCATTGTTATCTCTGACTCATTGTTAAAACTGACCCTTACAAGGCGGAGACACTCGGTCTAGGGAGGAACTTAACTGGGATAGAATCGGTTTTCTCCTAGTTCACTGTAGAGGCTAAGCGGGCTAATGTATCTGCTTGCGATTTCTTCTCCCTCGGGATCTGGCGAATTGTGAAAGATCTGAACTGCTTGAGCTCGGTTTTCACTAGCTAG